ATTCCTGCTTTCAGGTTTTCTGATGTTACTTCACAATTTGAGTGTAAAGAAATGAGATAGTATTTGGTATAGAACCTACAGCACAAATGAAGCAGGTATCATGCCAAGTGTGTCCAAGAGCTTCAATGAATTTATCTCCAGCTTCAACAGGAAAATCACAGCCATGGCATTTGGTGCTGAACAAAGCAATATAATCTAAAATAAAACAAAAAGCAAACTTAGAACAAACTCTTAATGTAATCATTTTAAATCCAAAAGAAATAGAAAGATTCCAGAGGATGAATTTTTTGATTGTTTTTGCTCAGAGTTTCCTACTACATTCACTGACACACTCACACTGAATTTTGCTTTTCTTTCATTATTTAAATACAAACTAAATGCAAACCTCCACATTAGCACGACAATTGTCATCACAAACATAGAAAACAAAAAATTAATGAAATTTGAAGTTATGTTTCCCACATTAGTTTTAAATTAGCTTTAATGTACATGGAAGCTATTCATAAGGACAAATATGGTCATACAAAACACAGTCTAATGGCCAGTGAGCGTTACCTTAAGGGTGGTATAGAAGCATAGTTTAAGTTTCCATGACTGGATTTATGTTCTCTCTGCATTAACAGAGAACATTATGGAAACCCCATTCTGGCTGGTTAACACATCTTATCTTTACTTTGAATATCAATTGCAATTTGGAAAGACTTGACATTGGAAAAAATTAGCAGAAATTCTGAAAGGTATGTGGAATTGTGAGAGTCATTAGATGTTATGGCAAAACCTTCAGTTTTAAAGGGTAGGTGACAAGTCAGTCATGCTGTATTGTTTTCATTCTTCATTAAGAGTTACTCTGATTTGTAAAATTGGATTTGCGCAACCATAAAGAAGGAATCTCCAGAGAGCTCATTAAATGGACAAGGCAGTGCTTACAGAGGGAATACCATCCTGAACCTGCTTCTTGACCATGTCAGGGAACTCATTTGCATGGCAAGCACAATTTATTAAACTATATTATCCTTTCCATAGTTTGGAAAAACCTGGCCTTTTCCTTTTTTTAGTTGGCAAGAAGCAGTTCGTTTGCTGCAGCACTCAGAAAACAAAATCTCTACTACCATGTGTTGCCCATCTGAGCAGAGCTGTCTCTTCATATATGCTGGTCGATGAGTTTTAGGGTGAGGCAGCAGTATCAGAGGTCATAATTCAAGCAACTTAGTAGAGAGAATGTGGGCAGCAACCCATACGTACCATATAGAAATGCTACCAGAACCCTAAAGGAAGAATTTTTCACCCTATAACATGTAGATTTCTAGTGAGCAGAATCTACCAGGGAAGGGAGTGGGACAGGGAAAAAAAGTGTAAGGAGAGTAATGGAAGTATCATAATATGTCAGGGAGAGAAATGAGGTCAGGCATTCTGGGACATAGAGGCAAAAGACCAGCACTCTGCCAGTCTATCACATAAAATGGAGAAAAATAACACTCGCATATGCAGAGAGCGGAAACAAAGCCCATGCTGGATGGGTAACTGGTTTTATTTTATTCATCAGCTGCTTTATTCTTATGTTGCTTCCATGCAACATGGAGCACATGGTTACTGAGCAGAACTGTCCAGTTTGCCATACCTTTCTCACAGTAAGGTTCCCCATCCTCCATGTGAAAGAGGCTATTCCCAAATGGCATCTTACAAGCAGCACAGACAAAGCAACTTGTGTGCCAAGTCTGTCTTAGGGCATGCATCACTTCCTGTAAAACAAACAAAAATCTCCAGCACAATAGCATGCTTTGCAACTACCTACTGGAGCACAAATACAAGGCAGACATGCTCTACGTTTTTCCCTTTTGTATCAGCCAATTCCCCCCCCGCCCCGTTAAAAGAAATAAGTATGACAGAAATTGGGCTCGTTTGGAAAGAAAGAGGAAATAGGACTGCAAACTTTCTGGAACAATGTATTTGCCAAAATGAAACAACATAGTTCAGCCAGCTGTTTGTATCAACATGCCCAGTCGCTGTTGCAGGAGAGATTCTGCACAAAGATTCTGATTATTTTCTCCTTTGTTTTTACATGACTAGTATGAAATCTTCAGTGCAAAAGTGTGATTTGTTAAATAAGTTTTAAAGAGTTGTCTCCCTAAGACCAAGAAACGCATGCGGGGGATAAGTCTGATGTTTTCAAAGCAACTTAGATTATGTACTAATTTCTTTAAGCTTCTCACAGGAACACTTCACAAACCAATGTGAAAATCAAAAAAAAAAAAAAAAAAAAAAAAAAAATTTCTTAGATTTTAACTTATGTGATTAGTGAAAATGAGTCTGCATGTCTGTTCCTAGGCCATGTGTTCATCACAAAAAATAATTCTGTGCAACTGATGTTGTCTTGATCTGAGTATCCAGATTTTATCAGCTTCTTTCTTCCATCCAGTATGGAGCAATCTCTGTCACTGCTTCATTCTTATCCTGTCATACAGAAATCCTCCAAGTCCAAAAGCTGCTATACTGAGCTCTGATGCATGGTTACCTGCTAATTTGTTGATCTTACTTGTGCCAAAGACAATGTTTGACAGTGTATCTCTGTCAAACTGTCCAGATTTCAAAGGGCCATCTGTGTAACTGGTGTAAATTAATTTAACTTTGTTAACTTCAGTGAAACAGCATTGATTTACACCAGCTGAGAATCTAGATCCTATTTTATGTTGCTTCCAATTATATACGTAGACTCTGATTCTTTTTTAAAGATTATTTTTAATCTCCCTTGACTATGACACAAGGGATTGAAGTCCTCTTCCATGCTTTCAATCCAGTGAACAGACAAAATAGTCTAATTTATGTTCGCCATATATCTCATTAGAGAGTCACCATTTGAGATTCATTAACTTCTGTTACTGTTTGCAAAACAACTATCACTGATAAATTGGTTTGGATCCATTTATGAACCTCACTGAACTATGAAGCAAAAACCAGATTGAGAAATCTTATTAATATAAATAGAGGCAGCTGGCATCTTTGCTATTTTCCTGATGAAAATCCATAATGGGGAACTGATTTGTGCCAGCATTAATTAGGTAAGTTAAGTCAGTACTCTGCTGTATAATTACTACTACTGCCATAGTAGCAAACAAGACTTGGTTGGAGCCAGAGCTTCACCATAGATGTCTGATGCTGCCATTCCTAATTGGCAATTGTAGAGAAAAGCATCCAGTCTGTCAATGCCAACATTTAGACAGATGTCAAAAGGTGACAGCTAAGCAGGGAAAAAAAATGTGTAGTATTCCTTGCTTCCTCATAAGAGAATCATGTCATATATTCACTATAACATGTATAAACACACTGCAAAAATTATCTTATGGTATTCCAACCTCATCACTAAGTTATATGTAGAGCAAATTTACTTGTACCTAAGCACGAGTACATTAAGACAAAAGTGGCATCTATTTTCGCCTTTCTGGAATTCAGATCTTTGTGTTTATTCTGTATTTTCTTAACTATAAGAAGTCAGCAGAATTCCTCTTGGCAGCTGTGTTGCTAGCTACCAATGAGGTGCAGCAACAGCAATGGGTCTCTTCCCAAGATCACTAACGTCTCCTTTGAAATTTAGATTAAGTCCTGTATAAGAAAAAAACCCCAGTTCAAGTCTCTTACTATAAATATAAAGAAAAGGTAGATAAAAGTAACATAGTGCGTATCAGATAGCAAAGAATTATCCAGAAAGCGTTACTTATGAGATGGTAATTGAATTACATATTCTGAGTTGAATAAGGTACAGAAATATCCAAGATTTTTGATAGATAAAAATTATTATAACGTTTCTCATTCTGAAATAATCAACAGACTGGGAAATTATTATTAAAAAGGGGGAAATAATATCTACATTCATTGCTTACAGTCTAAACTCACTATTTCAGTGAACCATGCAGTTGGAGAAAGGGTTAAGCTTATTCCCTTACCCCCATGATCTTAGTGTGGCATCTGGCACAGGTTGGTGCAAAGAACTGTTCGTAACAGCGCTCACAGTACACACTATTCTGCTCCTCCACAAAGCACATATCAGCCAAGGATGTCTTGCAGTAAGCACAGTTGAATTCTTCTGGGTGCCAAGAGCGACCCATGGCTACCAGGAAAGGACCCCTGTAAACAATCATAAATATTTGTACTGCAAAAAGATTGAATTACCCTGATTACAAACTCACTTTGTCAGACACTGCATACATGTATAACAAGCATTCTACTTGAACCATGAAGGTGTGTATTAAAATAAGATCCATAAGCCTAAACAGTCTTTTTCAAGATCATTACTCAAACGCTTTGCCAATTGGTTAAAATACTTCACTATTGTTTAGTCATATACATTGGATTTACAGACAACTCTTGGAAAAATCATCAATTGTTTTCATATCTGCATAGCTCTAAGTGGTATTTGTAAACAGCTGCAAAGACAACAGGAAGAGGCCAAAGGTTGTAACACAGAAGATAATGCTACTACTTGAAAGCATGAAAAAGCAAGCAAATTTCCAAACCTACACACTTACACCTCACAATAGCTCCTAAAGTCTTCTGCCTTCTTTTCATCTGAGACAGCACTGCATACAGCATGTTCTAGAAATGTCAGACTATCAGATGACAACTTGCTGTTTGATTATATGGAAGACACATTAAACTTGTTTTGGTGATTTACTCTTGATTGTAGTTAGATATAGTGATTATTATTGGAGTGTTTCCATTTCAGAATATGTAAAGAGCAATAATCAGCAGTTCCACATCACCAAACTAGCTCCTTTTAGTGGGGGGAGACCATCATTAAACATGGATTACTTAAAGTTGGTTAGCAGTCCACAGGGTAACAATGGGCACCAGTCCAGCAGAATGAATTGGGAGAGGAGAAGGGAGAGGCATGCTATGAGTCACTGGTAATAGAGTGTAGGCATTATCTTTCTCCAGACACAAAAGCAACAATTACATTTGGCTGCTGTTCCAAAATGATGTCTCATTCCTTTTGTCTCCATAATCCTCCCCCCTATTCCCCTAACTCTCCTAATGAAGTTCTACGTACCTCCTTCAAGGGGTACCTTAAAGGACCAGAAACTTGTTTAAAAAACAAACAGTGATTTGCCACAGCATCCAAGAAACAAACAATTAGCATGGATAACTTTGCAGTGATAAAAAGTGAACCACACAATAGCAAAATGAGCTCTGGAAATGTTAAATTAATGAAGCAGACAACAGACATCCCTGCTGGGTAATTTAACTGAGTCTTAGGCTCTGGTACTGTATATTAATGTACAATAACCAGTCTCTCTGATTTTTTTTTTTCCCCTGCTTCATCCCTCTTCAAAACCTCATGACCTTACCGAATTATGCTGTTACAGTGCCCGCAGAGAGGAGTTCGGCTGCTGGCTGGAAAACGCTCAGCCCTCTGAACTGTTCCCCGGGCTATTGCAGGAGCCTGGGAAGAAGTTGAAACTGGAGATGGGTAAGCAGAAGTTGAGGCAGGAGATGGTACTGGAGCACCCCTTGGTAGGATGTGCTTTGTGACAGTAGTAGTGGTTTTTCCAGGTGCAAATTTCTGGGAAAAGGAGTCATCTGTTACCCAGGGAGGGCGACTTGCAGGCTCAACGTTGGCAGGGGTGTAGGAATGAACTGGTGCTGGTGCTGTTTCAAATATCCCAAAAGAAACCAAGAAGTATTTTAAAGTCTTTTCTTCTGATAGCAAAACAGAAACACTTACCAAAGGGTACTCCATGACACACACAAAAAAATAAAAGCTTCATATGACACTTAATTATGGTCTGTCCCAATATTGCTCATTAATTCTGGACTGAAGCCAAGGATATCAGCACAATCACTAACTTTTAATCCACATGCATTGCAGAAGTCATTGCCTACTGGCTTTTACAGATTTTTTATGGAGACCATTTTCAAGGGCATTTCTTCATTTTCTAGTAGGAATGGATATGACAATTCTGTGATAATTTTAAAGACTGCCATGTAATCTGTTTAAGATAGGTTAAAAATAGAAAGGCCAGATCATGTAATAAAGTTTTAGACAGAATTCCCCATAATTTCAATAAGAAGTTATGCTTAAATTTTGATCTCATTATATTCATTAATATGCAGTGTTTTCCACAGATGTCACTGTTATCTATCACTTGTAGGTTTGACTCCTAGGTTTCTGAAGAAAAACAGGCTCACACAGGGAACACAGAGAAGCAATACTGAGGGAGCCAATTCAGCTCACATGACCAGCAAGACAAAGCCAACAGCACTTAGAAGAAGGCCAGGCTTGCGGTTATGACTGATCTCAGTTCAGTTCTTGGCTCTACCACAGACTTCCTGTATAACTTCGAGCAAAGCGTAGTATCTCTGTGCCTCAGTTCCCATGTATAAAATAGAAATATTATACTTCCTTTCTTCCACCCTTTGATTATCACATAAAATCTTAAGTGCAGACTGCCTCTGTGTTTGCATGCACCAGGCTCTAATCTTGGGTGGGGCTTTATCACATAAAAATAAGCAGAAGCTAGAGCCTGCACATACCGACAAGTTTTCCCATTGCCCTGCTCTTTTCAAAACGTCAGATCTTGCATTGTGTAGGACTGAAGTCACTGCCCAAGAAACTGCCTTGCTTTGCCAAGTACAGGAGCACTAAAAGCAGCTTTTGCACGGAAAACAGTGAATGATTGTTGGTTTGTGTGAGGAGGAACAGAAGCTTAGAGAATTGAAGTGTTTTGCCCAAATGAGAGAGTGCAGATCTGGGAACAGAAGTCAGTTCTCCTGCAGTCTAGGCAAACACTCTGCATAGTAGATCCCAGTGCCAGTAAAATGATGACCAAATACAACATTTACAGTTCTAAGGGGCTTGCAGGTAGAAAGGTATTTCAACCAAGAAAAGGGTTGTAACATGGATCTTTCTGAGTAATTAAGTGGTGAGAAGATTATGTTCTACTTAACACTCCTCCCTTAGCTCCCACCCTACCACACAGAATAACATACACTGATTATTGGCAATTGCAGTTGCTTAGATTTCATGTATATCAATCCACTGTGATCACCCTAATGATCTCTGATTTTCTTCTTTTTATTGAGTTCAGAGTTGAATCTAATGCATCTTCTTGATAAAACTTTCTTATGCTGCAGCATCAACAAAGTTTCTGTTTTGTAAAACTGTATCCCACCTTACCTTGAGGCTTTTTCTTCTTTTACTTGAGAATAGTAAACATGTTTAAAGATTTCAGAACAGGGAATTTTTATCCAATCTCTTTAAACCCTGGGGCTGTTACTATTTATGTATTACGGTATTAAGCTAGGCAAAATTAGAAGGCAGTATTTCATTTCTAATTGGTGAGTTCAAAAGGCTCCCACCTATGAGGCTCTCTAATTAAATAAGGTGACTTCTAGCTCATTCAGTTTTGTGAAAGGATTCTCCCTCCCCCAAGAGCCAATTCTTGTCCATGCAAAGTACAGCAGTGTATCCCACCGAGGGCCTAACAAAATAGTCAAATATTCAAACCCGGAGGTCCAGAAGTGAAGAACAAATGCAGTCCAGGTACCATTTTTAGGGTGTCTTTTTCTATGATTGTCTTTAGTAAATTCAGCTTGCGACCTCTTAGTTTTTCAGTTTTTCTTCCTTAATCTCACAACATTGGTGTTTTATTTTTACGGTTTGTTTATTCCAACCCATACAGACAGCATATGATTTATCTGGGTTCAGATTAATCTAGACTCCTTTGAAGGATAAACACTGGGGAAGGGGTTTTGTCTTTCATTCTCTATACCTTCTATTTCTTTTTACTTCATCTTTTCTACTTGCCGTGGTAAAATAAAGCAGCAAAATAATTTTTTTTTTCCAGTTGCTGAAAGAAGATACCAGGGGAATTATTGCAAAATGACAAATGTCGGGTGTTCACACCTGCTCTGAGTTCTCTTGTTGGCCATTATAATTTAATTTTACAGGCTGGATTTATTACAACGTATTTTCCCCTCAGTGAACAGGCTGGAATTACTATTGATTTAAATTAGTGTCATTACAATGTATTAGAAAGATTTCACTAACTTTGAGATTTGAGCTATTCTTATTAAGAGGGAATTATTATCTTGCTGTCTTATAGCTATATCCCTAACCTTATATTAACAATTCTTTTGTCTTAGTAGCTACTGCCATACAAATTCACCTTGCATGTTTATGTATTTCAAAGTTTTCTGACATATATGCAGCAGATGAAAGGTACTGTTTGCTGGTAAAATGTACTAAGATTCAATATATCAGAGAATAGATTCTCAAAATATCAATATTGTATGAGCTGACCTTTAACTGTTCAAAAATGAATACTTTAATTCAGTAACCCAGCCTCTATCACCTTGTTTCTCTCAGCCCTCAGACTCTCAGAGTAGGAAAGAAATTATGGGACTATTGTTATTTTGAGAGAATGGCAGAAGAGATCTCTCAACAGCCATAGAAACAAGCCAGTTCCTTGCTTCTGGGGAATTTGGAATTCTCCCCATCAGCTCTTCATTTATGGTCAATGAATATTTTCCCTCCAGAAAAAAAAGGCATATTAGTAAAGTGAAGATCCATATGGTCTCAAATGCTTTAGTCTTATATACTGGCTTGCATTGTGAAAACATTTTTTTTTCCTTAGTAATAGTTTTCCAGTAAAAATGTAATCATATTCGCAATTGATTTGGCTTGTTCTACACTTAGTGACCACATCCTTGAAGCCCAAAATTTTCCTATATGCTGTTTCAGTATATAGTAGATGCCAGACAAAGCAGATAACGCAACAAGTCCTGTGTAAGAAGGCACCATTCTTATTTAGAAGAATTTGAAATGAAAGATGGTACGTAACCTGCTGTTTTAGTCTTGAAGATGCTTAGGATTCAGTGAAGAGGTCACTGAGATCTATTGAATCTTTCTACCAATTTCTAAGAGTGGATCAGGCCATTACACTTGAGCACTTCTACATACATGAGTAGTCCTGTTTGGACTTACTGATTTAAAAGGAAAGATCTGCTTTCTTACTTTTAGATGTCATCTTACTTAGTAATATAAAACTGGCATTTGGGTTGCTTGGAATATACGAAAGCACTATTCTAGGCTGGAAAAGCCTACAAGAAAGGAATACACAAGTACGTTCTGCCATCTAGTGGACCTCGTTCAGAAAAGAAATCTATGCTACTTTCAAAAACAGGTTCTGAAATTTACTGAACAGAGAAGGAAAAAAGATTATGGAGTTACAGCTTTCCGTATAGGAAGAAAACAAACATTTGTAACAGCAGAAAATTCCTACCAGATTTAGGGTTAGTCAAAGTAGTACTCTTTCTTTGCTTCAAAGCGTAGACTTACTGATTACTCCTATCCGAGCCAGATACTCAACAATGCAGTTTTCATTTTGAGATTGGTTTCAGTTTAACCAAATTTAGCCTCATGATTTTTTTTTTTTCCAATCTGAGACACAGTAAAATAGTCTTGTAAACCCTCTTAATGATTTATTCAGGTTTCTGGATATTGCATATATGAGACTGTTGGTGGGTGTGTTAATCTGGAAGTTGCTGGCCCATGTTTTTAAGGGAAACAAGTCATCTCATTCCCATTAACACTGAGGGCTAGCATAAAGGCTCTAAATTCTACATTGCAAATCCTTGTAGTAATCTCCACCATTCTGGCCTTTTCACGCAGCAGATTTACAAGAAAAGAAGTCTAAGAAATTATTTGCTAAAGTGAGTGCAGTTATTGCAACAGCCTGAAGTTGTACTTAGACTGGAAGAAAAAGATGGATTTTGTGATGTCGTATGTCATCATTTGAGAACAGCTGGTCCTCTCAGATTGAGGCTGTGTTTTACACTGCAGGACAGGATTTATATGCATTGACAGAGTTAGGTGAGGAAGTTTTCTAACTGTCTTGATGGTTTGTTTCAAAGTACTATTGATCTTTACCATCTGTGTTAGGAAATGCTGTTTCCTCCATTACTTCCCAACTGACAATTTCCCGTTTGCTCAGGACTGCAACTGCAACCATCTCTAGGGCCAGCTCATGTTCCAGAACAAGTATAAAGTGCTACTACATCAAATATATAAAACCTTAAAAAGGTACCAAAACGAAAATCAAACATCTTCAATAAAATATCTTTCTTTAATCTCTTTTGTACCTGAGTCACTTTGAAGTTCAATTATGGAGGTATTTTAGAATCTTTTATGGTATATCTCAAACTCCTAAATAATACAGGGACACTTACTGTTTCTTTCTTTGCAAACTTTAATGCTATTTGAATTTTATCTTTGTAATATATCACATTACATATTATTCTAAATTTTCTCCTGTTCTCTAGACTATATTATATCCTTGCAGTGCTTGCAAAATAAGAATATTTCACATGCAGGCAGACAATATATACAAGTTGAAGTAAGTTCTTTGTGTACATAGTGACACAAAACATAGTTTCCATACTGTGTATTTTAAGCATTTATTGGGAAGCAATGAGGCTTAAAACCAGCAATATAAGGAATTGCAGACAAGATGCCCATCACAGGGGAAAACAAAAGCATTGCTTCTTATTCTGAGTCTAATTCATCAGCCAGCTTCTTCTTTAACAAATACAGCTACTAATTGGATATAGCTACTAATATATTTCTGTGGCAGATTTGTATTGAGAACTGGAGCTTACACTTCCCCCAAATGAGCATGGGGCTTAGTATCAATCAGTGGATTTAGGAGATATTTCGACTTGTCACAGTTTTCTCTGTTCCCGATTATGGAAATAAATCCTTTGTCTTCATCTTTCTTTTTTTTTCCAAGACAAAAATAATTTGCCTTCGGTGAGAACACGGTATGTGCTGACACACTTAACCATAAGCAAATGAGAAGCTGAAACCTTTATGGACTTTGAGACCCTTAAATAGCTCATGATAGTTATGAGCTGGCTTTTTTCACCTTTGTATCTCAAATATGAGGATCAATCAATTGATCTGTCTGCTTTATGTCTAAGTTTGCACTGGTTTCATTTCAGTAGATCCAGAGATAGAGCATTACAGAAGACGGAGTTTAAGATTGTTAGAATTCTTGGCCTTTCCATATTTACTTGACTGTCAAGATATAAATCAACTTTTTAATTCTCTTGCTAAGATCAGAATAAGCTTAATTTGAAACAGAACTGCATTTAGACTTATATTGCTGCCTCATTTAATTTGTTCATTTTGATGGTTCACATTTTGGTCATCAATGGTTTTAGAAGTTCACTCCATTTGTAACACATTAATATAAAGTGAATTTAAATAACATCAAGGAGCATATTTTCCACATGAATGAATAATCAAATATATTCCTTCAGTGATTGAAGCTGTGGGAAATGGAAGCATACCATTACAAAGTACTTTTATACGTCGTTATTTATTTCAAATATAAGCCTGAGTTTGAGAAGTTAAATATATGGCCTTATCTATTTTGCAAATATATCCTAGGCAAGCTACCTTCACTTATTTTATCTCATTCCCGAGTTGTACGTTCTTAAGCTATTTCATCAATTATGGGCTCCTAATTGGGCGCACTGGCTTATTTTCAAAATTTATTTCTTTTGAAAAGTCAGGCTACACATTTTAGTACAGGTTTTTCCTTGCTTTTATTCTTCTTCCTCCTTTTGTTCCACATGTATTTGTATTCTGCTTTGGAGTGAACAACATAATCCTCAATCTTCAGATAATCTGAAGCAAAACTAGCAGCATATAAATATTTCCTGATAACTCCATGCATATAAATATTTCCTGATATGTGTGTGTCCTATTGCAAAATGTGCATTCTTTGCATTTTCTTTTTCTAAAGGAAATGCATGTACATTCTCTTCTGAATCCTTTCAGTACTTTGAAGTCACCTTACCTGGCTGGTAGACAGAGGGCTTTATGCTGGCAGTAGTAACAACCCTTGGTTTTGAAGTAGCAGAAGCAGCAGGACTTTCACTGTAGCTTCCGGAAACTGGTGTTGGTGTATATGACTGGCTTGTGTTTCTAAAAGCAAAATGAAGGTACGAGCAACTTTATAAACAGCAAAAGTTACTGATTATGAAATAACAGATCGGGCAGCTTCCAAAGCACTCCAAGGGGAACTGTTCTTGAGAGCTACAGAGAGAATACTGTAAGATTCATTAGTCTTTATCATTGCTAAGTAAGGCTTGGACAATTCTTTGGAAAGAAAAATTAGCTGAATGAGGATATTAAATAATGGCAAGTTCCTCTTGTCATCACAGAAAATAGCTCACTGAAGGAATATGACAATTTTATTAAAGGAACTCTTGGGTTAACAAGGGATCAGACTTCAGGAATATACATACAAAGTTTGGGTTTTCTGTCCCTCTACAAACAGGCCTGTTCTTGTCTAAGATAAATCAATGAGGGGTATCTCCTTGACTTAAAAAGATACTGGCTCAGCACAATTAATACTGCAAATACTAACTACTGTTTATAAGCATTGTACTCTCTTCAAAAATATTGTAGTGACCTTTTAAAAACATTTCTGAAACTAACTCTTTTCCCTATTTAGGCTGAAACCACAATTTACATTAATTTTTCCAATGTTCAGATTCAGCTAACCCAAAAGCATGTGATATGCAATATTATGATACAATTTCTGCATTCCTAAATTAAAACCATTTGCTCAGGATTTCAAACATCAGTAGGAAATAATTTTTCTCTAATTTATGGTTCAGATGGTGATTCTCAGTTTGATTATATTTACACATTGAAATATATGCCTCCTCTATTTGCCCGTTACTTAGGATGATTCTATTTGTAGTGACTTCGCGTCTTAGACCACTAAAGGCACATTACAAACAAAGAAAGCAAGAGAGAATAAAGAAGTACAAGGAAGGGATGCAACAGATACCGAGATGTGTGCAGTAATAAAAAAACATTCACTATTAAACATCATTCTTACCCTGAAAACAGAATTTTACTTTCTTTTTCCTTTCAGTTTCACTATCTGTATGAACCAGACCCCTATCCATTTGTGCTGACAGTTGAGAATTTATTTCCATAGGGGCATTGTCTATAGGAAAACATTTGTCAGCATAACAAAAGAAGCGTCCAGCTTTGCCAGACCATTGGTCCATCTTAACTTGTACTTTCTTTAATAGTGGAAGGAGATGCCATCTGGAGAGAACACGTTATAACCTTTGCGTATGGCAAACCCAGCAAATTCCTTCCAGTACAGGTAAAAAAGCATTCTGAGAAATGTAAACTTTTGATTTTTAATTTTGAACAAAATAAACCTATCCTCACAACGTAGCTTTTTGCTACTCTGACAGTGCTTATACTGTAGATCTAGTTTGCATAGCATTGCTGTCTCAGGCTAATTTATTTTGTCTGTTTAGTTAGACCTAGAAACATAGCTATTGCTATAATGACTGTAGCTATTTTTTTCTGTACCTAGTCTAGCGCTTAGGGCTGGATTTGAGTCCACTATACCATGAGTGAACAGGACTCTCTGAGATAAACTATTTTAGTGGGCTTGTATTCACTGTAAATTCCGTTGTGAACTGTGCTGTGATTTCACAGCCGCCAAAGCTGTTCTAAGCACAGTGAGACTTTTTACCTTCTGTTCTTATCATCTATTTCCTGTTGATACCCTATCTGTAGTGCGTAAGAACACGCTGTACTCTGGGTCCCTGGATCAGTCCTCCTGCCATAGCACAGACAGGAAGAGGTACGCTTCAGGTACACTGGCTTCACAGGCAGCTCTCAAAACGCCTTTAGCCAAATACACACTATCAAAAGACTTCTCCTTGTTTTAAAGTTTACTATTCGAGGTAAACTAGACAGAAAGTCAGTAAAACATACTTACCTTTACAGAATCACCGATCAATATTTACAATGTGCGTTAAAATATTTTAAATCATGTGTCATACAGCCTTAATCTGAAAATGGCATACAGTCAGGAAAGTCTACTCCCAGATGTGCAGGTCCATTGGCAGAAAGATTCATGTGAAGCTCTCTTAATGCACAAAATATATTAAGAAGTTCTGAGCCAGATTAGTGATACTGAGACTGTCATGAAGAAAAATGGTTATTCAAAATTCAAGTGTTTCCCAAAGTTAATAGCATGATAAAATCATGCCCCTAGATTTCCCTGTATGTTCAGTGAAAAGAAGTTGAAAAAACAAAAAACAACACACACACACAAAATTGTATTCATAGTACCAAAATCATGGCAAAATTAAAAGAAGTCAACTACTGAACTCTTACAAGTGTATGATGCATATCAAATAGAGTAAGGAAGATAAAAGGCTTGTCAAAGAGAGAGTAAAGTGTTATACTACACCATTAAGGGTTTTAGTGAAGTTAAAAGATTTATCAGAATTTCTGCTGAAAAGGAAATAGCATGTGATTAAAAAAGGGAAAAAAAGAAAGAAAGAATGAAAAGATGTCCTAAGGATCAAAGATGCTTTAATGGAACAGGAAGCAATGGCATCTTGAAAAGCAGTGAAAGCACCCTTACTGAATTTATCTGTAGCAGCCAATGGCATGTGACAGGCAGCAAATTAAATACTGGCTCTCAAAACTATTAGTTGTCAGAAAAAGAAAGAGTAAATATTTCTAAGCAGATAATTTTTAGGTTAATACTTCACTAGATGCCCACTAGCAGCAATAAACTGATTTGTTAAATGCTTTTAAGGTAGAGTAGCTGCACAAAACATTTTTATACCTCTTCTTTGACTGGTAGCTGATGGAGGTGGAAGAATGCCGGTTGAAACTAAAATGAGACAAAAGTTATATTTGAAAAAAAAATGCCAGGAAAGTTGGGATATCTTGTCCTACAGTGAATTTCTTTATGAATAAACCATCCTTTTATGTGCTAAACTAAACAGCATGTACATATTTATAATTATATAAGGTCAGTGTTACATTATATTTTGCTTATCTTATTTAAGCTAGGAATCATAGTGAAACCTGAATAATGGTAACATAAATAAATGAGCTGAGTATATTGCTCCATAAGTCACTGTCATCCAGTTTTGCTCCTTCTTTGCTTCAGGAATTCTAATTCAACCACTGGGCTGTTTTCTTTGACATTCACCACTTATTTGCATTAGCACACAAAAATAAGTATGAGTTTCTTTTTGTGAGTGTCATATCATAAGCTTAAGTTGCATCAAATCTTAAAAGCAAACCTTGAATGAACTAAAGTCCAAAGATCAGCTAAGTTTCGTAGCCTGAGGCAACTAGGACAACCCCACAGAAAGTACAGGCTGGAAGTAGTTGAAGCAACAACATCAAGCCATCACGTTCAACTTTTCCCTTGCAGTACCATTCTACTGTTCATATACTAAACAAAGTCTTAGGTAAACAAGTAGATTTTTTTTTTTCTTTCTTAGGGAACAGCATTGTTTCAGAACATAGATGGTTCATTTATGTAAATACAGAAAGTACTTCAAAGCCTGCACAAGGTACGATCTGAGAAACGAGGATTCAGAATGAACACGGCTCCAGTCTAAATGCAGAGCAGTGCAGGGCTACATGGCAACAATCACATCACGCAGGAGCACAGCCCACATTTGCCAGAATTACCAGAAGCCTATCACATGCCAGTTATTTTCCTAGCTTCTGGAGAAGAGTTTTCTTCCTTTTATCACAGACATAGTGTTTGGATTAAAATCCTAGGATCACAGAAGCTACGCTTTCCTTTTTGAACTGTAATTGTAACTATTTCCATCATTTCTTCTGTTTTTGTATTCCCAGAGTGCTGTCTTACTGGTTGCTCTGCTTTTACCCTCCAGATGAAATAACCAATTGCATAAAGAGCTTTGTAGCTTATTTTAAATATATGATATGCTTTTTTCTTTGTAAGTAAGATTGTTAAATGAAAAAGTAAGATTAATATTGTGAATTTAAAAGTAAGAGTAACATGATCAGTTAGGGATTAATGATTACTTCAAACACTCCTCTTTAGGAACATTATAAAGATTTTACTCATGTTAGGTGTTATGCATACAACCTTTGCTCCCAAAGCAAAATCACTATAGAGCTGATCTACCAAAGTTTAAAATCAGATTTAAATAGTTAAGGACATTGATAAAGAAATCCTCCTGCATATTCTTGGTGGATCTTTTTAAGGTATCTTGAAGGAAAACAACAACAAACACTGGAACAATGGTGCTAAAATCTCAGACTCATTCTACCTGAGCATGTTTTACAGGATGAGGATATTGCTGTAACTAAAGTCATCCATATTTTATTTTGAACTAAAATTATATGAAATGCTGCAGTGTTCCAGTGGTATATGTCAAAATGAAACTGGATTTTTAAGTCCATATTTTGGCATGCTAATGCATTGCTTGATTACTAAATGAACACTATCAGATGCTCAAAAAATTGAATTATAAATTAATTTGGAAGCCAGTTGTAGTCCCTTATGTTTGAATACACTGAACTATAATACATTACAGTTTTTAAAACAAACATGGAGGTAGTGCATAAAGATAAAGAACCTATTTCAGCTGCAACACAACTCAAAAAAACCCCAAACTGAATTTGCTTCTTCTACCTGATTATCAGGGAACCAATTTTTTTTACAAGTCCTACAAGTTTCTGATTTGCCTTTATGCCCAAAGGCTCACTGAATTACTGAACTTCCAAGAGAGATATTAGCTAAGACAGTAACTTTTGCCTGCTGATTACAGCTTGAAGTGGGATACCTGTGTCATCCATTGGGAAGTAAGATTTTAGGGCAGTAGCTTATAAAGCTGATATGCTGTATATCTTACATCTTCGACTTAAATAATTGCCAGGTATGAGCAATAGTTTTTAGTAAGTTTTTAGTAGCCTGAATAAAGCATAGCTTTCTGAAACGGACAGTTGTTTTTCATAGATTCACAGAATCTGTCAGGTTGGAGGAGACCTCAGGAAGTCTCTCATCTAACCCCCTGCTCAAAGCAGGGCCAGCTCTGAGCTCAGACCAGGTTGCTCAGTGTTTATTGAATGGTGTCTTGAAAACCTTCATGAATGGAGATGCATAGCCTCCCCAGACAACCTGCTTCCTTTCAAAAGGGCAGGAAAGGGTAAAATTGTCCATGCCAATCTAATGCAGGAGATAAGAGACATTTGAATTGGAAGTAAATTTTAATATCTCAAGGTGATCTTTTTATCCTCATTACTCATTAAAATTGTGATTCACACTGATTAGTCCATATTGATACATAACTACAAATGGATTTATAGTTTCAAGGCCTCACTCTACTTCTCCCTGTGAAAGGAATGTGAAAATGGATAAAGGCTCTATCAAAAATAGTATTATATTAGCTCTAAGATAGCTATGCAAGTAGTATAAGCAAATAATGACTATACTAATTTATTAGGTTTTTATATGTAAATTATACATAATTGTTGCTTAACTGTCATTTCCAAGACAGTAATGAAAACAGGGCTCTTTTATGGAAGAGTAGACTTATCCCAGAAGATAACAAAAATATCTACATCTAATTCTTATACCAAAAGGTAACATGGAAAATGAAAGCTATGCCAGCAGTTGTCAATCTGTCGCAAGTAACTGTTATACTCTATTCCTGACCAACATAGCTACCATACTTCAATGTGAAGAGTGCCTGTTCTGGGATTCAGAAGGTCTATCCATAGTTCTGTGATTACTACAAAGGAACTATAGCTTCTTAAATTAATAGCCTTCAGTTAAAAAAAAGTATGCATGCATTAAGCATTTTGTGAAAATATGCCTTCTGTCTACTTGGGCAGCCTTATTTTAAAGATTTTCTATGATGATAAACTATCTGCCTCTGAAAAGTTTCTACAGATCTACCACTTTTACAACTCTGATTTAAAAGCTCACAATGCTATGATTCATATATTCATAAGGATTTCTGAAGTTTTAAGGTGACCAAGTATGGTCTTGTAAATCAATAAAATCTTGTCCAATTTTAGAATGACTAGCAGGATTCTCAGTGTTCAAACCTATGTCTGTCTTCTAATCAGACAGCTTCATGGAATAATAAAAACAAAATCCAAAGGAAGTTTTATTTCTGAAATAAAGCCATTTCTTAAAACTGGAAAATCTGTAGTTTTGACATTTTAAAAGTGTGATGTGTTCTTTAGCGCTCCCCTTATATCCTCCTAGTCAAGATAGTCAGAAATTGTCAATTAATAGAATTTTTTCACTCAAGTGTAAAATGCCTTTCTAATCTTGGGTGGGCAATAAAATAAACCTGATTAAGATTTTATCAATGGAGTCCTAAAAGTGATATATGCAATGCATCTGTGATTTTATCTTTCTGCATTCCTCCAAAATTGTTCATTAAAGTCTTTCATTATGCAGTTGTTCTTCTTGAAGAGGAAGAAACAGGGCCTTTTGTGACATCAATGCTATAAGATGCTCAATAAGATATGCATATATTGCAGAAATAAAGAGTATTACATGCAGTACTACTACTACGTGCAGGCTTCAGAGACCTATTATTAGCTATTTCTCACTGAAGCTAGTAGAATACTAAGGAAATAGATTTAGATTAGATATTAGGAAAAAAATTCTTCACTATGAGGGTGGTCTTCACATTTAAGACCTTAATCATACCACAGGATTGAATGAAAAAGCAGTGTAAGAATTACTTTTGAAATGCACTGAGTACTCATAATGTGAAAATTAGGTCCTCTTAAGGTATTTTATGATGGATACCCACAAATAATGAATTCCCTAAATAACTCATCACTTTGGAATTGTGAAAGTTCATACAGAAAACTAGATGTCAATGGTAGTAAAACCCTTGCATCTGTTCTTACCTTCTATTCTTGGTAGCATTCTGGTGACATTCCATAGTTTAATTGAAACTAAAGTTGTGCTTAGCATACTTCCACTCAAATAAACAGAATTAGATGAGCAGTTAGTTTTACTTCTCAGGTTTCATCAGTTCCATATGGTAATTACATCCCCTATGTAATTCCCATGGCTGTAAACAGCCATGTTTACATCCTGAAACTCAGAACTCTTCTGATCTTCTGTTCTGTAGCTATTTCATTTTTGCATTGGTTTCAGTGATGTGAAGCCAAAATGCTTTCAAGTATGTACCTATGCATAGCCCTTAACTTCTGTTTTCTATGATACGCTTGAGAAAGATCATTATACTTGATGTGTAGCCTTCAAACTTGCATGCTTTGTAAATTTCAAACATCACCTTTGGGTGATTCCTAACTACCTTTTTATTTCAAGATAAGAGAGACAGGAATAATTATAATCTCAAATGTATTGCTGTTGCAGTTTTTCATTATTTATGAAGATCATGTTCAAATAATGAATCTCAAAATCTACTGCTTTCTCCTCTGTTAGTCTTGACAAAGTGTTAAAGCAATGAAAAAGCTTAGCAGTGAAAAAGTAGAGCAGCATTCTCTCTCGGTAGTGATAGGTGCTACCTTTCCCTATCGGTGGTCTTTCATTAGTCATGATTAAGAGCATAATAAACAGTGTCTGTGATTCCTGTGATCCTGTGTTTTCACCAAGAGAAAATAATAAAAAAAAAAAAGTCTGTTATTCTCACCCAGTGTCACTAGACAAATATTTTCAGTTTAAGATGGCAAAACCAGGACAAACCAACCAACTGAAATACCTTTGTTCCAAAGGATCTTTTGTTCACATATCCTAAATCTAAAACTTAGGTGTTTCCTAGCTTAGTTTTAACATGAAAGATAAGCAAGAAGGCTATTCCTTTAAACATATCATGCTTTTCAAGAGTCTCTACCAAGCCAATCTCTTAAGAAGTTGAAAACCTTAAATTGGAGAGAGTAATACAGAATAAAACCAGATTAAGTTAAAAGAAAAACAAGAGAGCTTTACAGATATACCTAGACTGAGACGAGATAGCAGATGAAATAGTGGAAGCTGCTAATGACATGTTCTTGGACCCATGGAAAGGCTTAGGCTGTGAAAGAGAGCTTGGGGCTGCAACCACTCTGCGGAAGACACATGAAAGCATGTACAAAATAATTCAACAAGGACAAAAAAAGTGACATCAAAATCAAGCTTTTTTGGAGTTCGGATACAAGAGGACTGCTGCATAGTTACCAGGAACAGGTTTTCTGTAGCATACATCTGCAGACTTACAGAATAGCACAACCAAGCACGTTCCTACAGAACACAAGACGAAATGCACACATTATGTAAAAGTCTTTAAACCAGAGTCTATCGATAACTAAGAAAGACAATATTTCAGGACAGGACTTTTGTCAACGATACATGTTTTTATCTGCAAGATCTGAAGATGTTTGAGTCTTAATTCAAGCTAAACTTTTGAATCTACAAGCAGTACCAGACAAAAGATTCTCCTATTTAAAACACAAATCATTGTCATGATTAGTTTAGTAGAGGCATTTATTTTTAAAGCATATATTAGATAACCCATTTTCTTCATGTTACAGTTTCAACTGAAAGATAAAAATTACTTAAACCTTATAATTATTTTGCATCAGAGTGCCTTATAGCACAGTTCTGGATTACAGGATACCACCTTATTCAAACCTTCTTTGCTGGCTGGGTGATTGGTTTTCTTGCACTGGAATAAAACCACTGGGGTCCGGCAGGTCATGGTTAGGTAAAAAACTAACTAAAGTCAGAAACTAAGTAGTTGGTATACATGAATAATTTAAGTCAACTAGCAAAAATTAAAAAAGAAAGAGAGCCAAGAGAACATTTCCAATTCCATTTGCACACATATAAGATATGTCAAACTACATTTTAGGGCTCAATTACTCAAAGTAGTTTACATTACCGGAAGTATATTTTTCCTTGGATTTTTAAAGCATGCTAAATATACATCTTTTAGGAATATTCATGTAGGAAAAAAACCAAAGAGAAAAGAATAATATGCACCAAAGGAATTCACCCTTACTATCCCTAAAATTACTATAAGGTAAGTGACAGCAGTATAAATCCCACACATTTCATCACAGACTGACAACTTTTAATATACAAATGTAACTCCCACTGTACAAGTGTTATGAATGCATACCTCCTTGAAACTCACTTTAGGTCTATAGCCAAATCTCATTAGAAAAAAGAGAATAGATACATCTAATAGAAATTAATTTACTTAATACCTTACAGAGCAAGTCAATCATCAAATGCATGGTTTTATTGACATATTGCTCATTGTCCACCATGTTCTACTGGCGTCTGCTACCAAATGGTAAGCTCAATCACGTGAATAAATGACATTTTCTAATTTTCCCTTTCATGTCATACTGCAGTAACAGTATTAAAAGAACCTTCATTCAACCACTGTAACTATTATGAGGAGTTATTTTGGTTTTATTACAAGTGGTGAAAAAACACTTCTAGCTTTAGTCTTAGACTTGCTTTCTGAAAATGTTAACGGTATTGCAGACTTAAAGCTGCTTTTTGTTATTTTTTAGGGCAATTTTATTTGCAAATTCTTTGCAAACATGAACAATGTACTTCAAAACACACCAAAAATATATAAAAGCATATAAAATAGGCTACAGCTTTTACATACTACATTCTTAATTTAAGAATGTGTATGCAGCATTTCCAGAGCCACACAGGGGTGTATCTGTGAAAGGACAAAGCAAGGAAGCATTACCTTTGGAAGGAGGATGAGAAAGACTCTTGCACTACTGAGGTGGTTGCTGGTGGTGTCATCAGACTGGCTGTATTTTGAGCAGCAGCAGCAGGCTGATGTGCTGAAGCGTATGGTGCAGGAGCAGAGGCAGAACTGGTAGACACCGGAGCATGCTCAACAGGGGTACTAATTAGAGTTAAATTAAATAAAACAAGAAGCGTCTTATGAAGGTGCATATTTAAACATAGAGCATAAAACCTACTATGTTTGAACCTGCAAACATAGTAGCAGGCTGTGTTACTGCGGGATAAGCACAATTATGCAAAGGCCTTGTCGGATGTGTAGTTAAGACTGTAATGCAGTTTTGGTCCTGCTTGACTGAAATTTATCCCAGGTGTTACACAGCATTTAAGTCCTGCTCCCTCTGAAGCCAGAAAACGTGAAGGCAGGAAACGTGGCATGCAGTACTTAAATGGTTGCAAAGAGCCTGTCACAAACTCTTTGAGTTTGGATAAATTTCATCCAGTATTTACTCCTGGAGCTGAAGCTTATGTTAGGAGTAAAGTTTTTAATTAGATGAAGAAAAGCAATTTAAAGGATGTTATTGATAATCTTGTATCAGCAGGTTTCCTGCAGATTCTGATAGTCTAGAACTCCAGTCAGCACAGGTTTTTTGTGTTGGGTTTAATCAGTTTTGTGCAATACAGGTAGTGGAGAGACGTTTAAAAGGAGTCCATTCATCTCTGACCTACATCACACTAGCCAACCCAAACAAGAAGATGCCTTTTTACACATAAAATAGTATGCAAAGTACAAGGGGAAGATGTAGCATAAAATTTTTCTACACCAGTTTTAAAACCACTTGAGTGATGAGTGTGACTTGTTATGCTTTTGGGCCTCTTGTGCTGTTGTGGCACAGATAACATAGAACAGAAATATTAATGTTTAATTCCTTTACTCTTTATTTGATTGCAGAATAGATTAATTGAAATGAATGATAAAAATCTAGTCTTATGTCCTGTGGCCATTTTAGTAACCTACTGAACTACTGGTGTCTTTCATCGCCGGCTGTCAAAGCACCCAGCCCTCACTAACATATTTCAGCCTTGCAGCCTCACGCAAATTTGGAAAGTATTACTCATCTCTTACAGATAGACAAATGGGGCAAAGTTATCTATTAGACAGCTTTGCAAGATAGTTTAGTCAAAGCCATTCACTGCTAAGAAAAGAACCAATCTTTTGGGAGGTTCAGTTTATTGTCTTCCACTAGCTCTTACATCAAAGAAAAACAAAACAAAAGTCATTAAGCAGACTTACAAAATTCAAGTTCTCTGCTGACTGTTTCAATGAACTTAATATCAACAAAAGAATAATTATATGTACATTCATTATTCACTTGTCAATAAATCTAACAAAAATCACTAGGTCATTTAAAATTAAAAAGGGGGAAAAAAGGAGAATCAAGAAAAGTAAAAAGCTTAAATTTGTGTTTAGGCAGATTTTACTGTGCATTTTATGAATTATTACCCACAGAACAAATAAGCCACTGAAAAATAACTAATTGCAATTTGATTTTTCAGATTATTATACTATTTTGGGGCACAAACTTCAGTGACAGTATAAGCATATATATGTCCCCGAGGCATAAGGAACATTTTTCTTGATGCCATATTATTATGCTATAGATTCATTTTCTTTAGTAGTTATCCTAATACTTTTTTTTTTTTTTTAAATTGGGGCATTACTATACATGACATAGTTGTCTTGTCCATGAGCAGTGGTGTAAGAACATAATGGATATATTTTTACTTCTTTTGACCTAACTCTTAAGTATATTGCCCCATCTCTGGGATCTTACAAATGACTCCTATCAGAGTGATGGAATTCGGCGATTCTCTTGTGCAATGTACAAAGAATTTTTTTTCCCCCCCCCCCCCAAAAAAATAATCTTTCTTGAGCACAGTAAGTATCAAATAAAAGAAAGCTTACAGTTCCACAACTGGTTTTCAGCCAAACCTTAGCCCTCAAACATTTTTTCTCTCAAAATTTCCCCCCCAAAATATTTGCACAATGGCAAATTCTAATATCTGTCTTTCAGCCATTCTATGTAATATTTTATTTTGCTTCTCTCAGAAGCACTGACTCAACAAGTTATACTCCTCGGGACCTAGCATGAGCACTTGGTACTTCAGAATTTGTGATACCCCTTGGTCTTCAAGGGCCTGTCCCATTTCCCCTGTCCTCCTTCTCCACCTTCTTGTATGGTTTAGTAATCTAAATTTAGCTGAATATTATACTGTTTGATTAGCTGAAATGGAAGCGTGGTTGTTATGCCCACCAATTTCAAAGTTGAACACAACCCACGACAAAAGCAGAAAAATCAATATTTTCTCCGTTATGAGTTTCATCTGCAATTATCTACATAACAAGGAATTTTCTGAAAATACCGTTTGCAATGCTGGTTTTCAAATCATGACATCAGAAGTTTTGCAACAGTTATCTTAATATGCATTTGAAATTCAGATCAGTTCTTCCATCTTCATGCATTTGCATTATGATGTAAATTCTTCCACTTAGCTAATACAGTATCAATTACATAGACTATGCAGCAGAGTAACTGTACGTCGTACGTCACAGCTATGGATCGTGAGATAGTCTGCTACTGAGTTTTAATACTCACAGGATTTTTTTCTACCTGTGCATTGGAATTGGGTACTGGAATTGTCGCATTAAAAGGTGTCGAGTCAAAATTTAGTACTTACACATCTCTGATTTGGCAGGAAAAGAGTGAAACTATACTGCACATAACAATGGAACTTAATGCATATCCTAAAAGCAAATACCAACTAGGATTTCACCTATTTTGTCTTTCTTTCTATTTTCACTGAAGTGAAAGAGAATTTGCTACAGATTTCAAAATAATCAAGACTTCATACCTTGAATAGAGGAAAACAGTGAAGTTACTTAATTGTTGTAATGATCTCCAAAATGTTAACCAAAACACATACTCAATGATGTATGTTTAAAAGAAAGAAAGAAAGAAAAGAGTATGGGTGGACATGGACCTGTGTGGAAATGGATTTGAACTAGACGAACACATATAAATAAAATAAATGCAAATATACTGGAATACCTTATAAAAAACTTAAAAGGAATACAAGCAAATTTTATCTTGCATGCTGTTTGTAATAGTTCTTTTTATATGATTAAAAAGTTAGAAGCTTGCACCTTCCTGCAGAGTACAATATATAAATTAATGGAACAAGGAATTGGAGTAAGTGTAAATGAAGTAGATATAACCTTAAAAATCTCGTTACACACATTACATGCAGTTGGTTACTAATTCTTTATTCAGTTTCATAGGAAGAACTCAGACTAACATGACTGGTTTTAGTTTAGCCACTATAAGTTTTAAATAATTTTATTTAGATATTCAAATGCAATAACTTTTTTTTCCCCTTAAGATTGCCTATTTTCTAGATTTTAAATCTGTTTTTTTTTAGTTCTTCAGGTGCAGAAGAATTTTAAGAACTGATAAATGTGAATGCTGCTTTATAAAATAGATCATCTATTATAACAGCTTCATTCTTACGTATGTAACAGGGTTTTTGTGGTGTTTTTTAATACAGTCATTCATACACTTTTAATCTTTACAGTATTTTGCATTTTAAGGAAATCAAAGGAAATGGATGTTCTCAAACATCTCCATATTTGTGGTTACAAATAAACATAAAATACACAATGTAAGTTAGGTGGATGAAAACAAACACACATAACTGATTTCACTCATGAAAAGGAACACAGATCAGTAGAGGTTAAGAGGATAATAATGGTTAACATACCTAATGAGAAAACACAGCAACAAATGCACTCTAACATTTAAAAAATAAGTGCAGATTATGCTTCTTTCTCTCAGTAAAGTCTTAAGTTCTGAGTCTTTCTGTCCAAATAAATATTGAGTGGATTATTAAAGCAATACTTAGTCTCCTTTATGTAATGCATGAAGTTCTTGTTTCAAATCCTCCAACAGATCTCTTGTACAGAATTGAAAAGATAGAGAACAAAAATTAAAAAATGAATAGGCAAAAATTATCTCTTATTGTAGCATTTGTAGAAAAAAGTGCTGGAGAAGGTGTTTAGAGAAAGACATAACATGGAAAAATTTTGCATTTGAATGTGGGAATGTTCGTAGAAATAGAGTTAATATCAGCTGCTGTTCCTCTGCAGAAGGTGCTTAATGACTGTTGTGTCTATATTGTAGATGAGATCCTTAAGAGTGCCACTTAAAACATAAAACCCACATGAACTAGAAGTTGCTGGAATTTGTAGAACTTGGACATCTGCCTTTTAGGCAATGGGCATTTCCATCTGAAGGAGTTAGAGGTTGTTATTACCAAACCATTCCAAAGCTCCAAACCAGGTCAGTTATGCAGTTACACATCACAGTGTACCTTTTATTACTGGATGTAGCAAGAGGGACTTTCTGGCCAGTAGTGATGTAACTGGCCTCCCTCTGACTTGTACCCGCTCCAAGCCTCACAGACCCCTTGGAGGCCACTGGCTTAGCATTGTCAGTGTTGGCATCCATGGTGCCTGATTTAGGAGGATGCCAAATACTTGAGGTCACATACTGTGGCGCATGCGCAGTAGCTGTAGGCCTGGGTAACAAAGATTACAAGGGGATTTGTAAATGAGGTAGTTATTATCATGTCACCGTCTTAAGTGATAGCAAGGTTCTTGAGGGAGAGACAGAATTCCAGCCACAGAAGAAGCTGGTAGTTTAATAGAAAAAGTTTGTTCAATGTTTTTTAGTTTTCAGAGATACACGTGCTTACTGTTTACCATACCAAATAAAGTGGCATTTTAGAATGCTAGTGCCTGGCCCTTTAAGACAGCACATATATATGGAGTAAAGCCTTAAGAAAAAAGAAAAAAACAACAACAAAAACCAACAAAAGTGCTAAACATCACAACTGAAAAGTTAAATCTAAGTTTAATAATGAAGGCTTTGGTTTTCTGTCTTGTCTTTTTCCTGAAAGAAGATTTCTATCTGTAAATATTGTATCCTCTTTCTGTATCCCCAAATTCCTTATACCATAGGAGATCATTATGATATTGCAGATGAAGTCATGGCAAATCTTGATATTTATTAGTTTATTACTGTTTAATACCAGGAAAGACTTTAAGAATGAAAAAAGTTATCTTGTGTTAAATCTGGAACCCACATTGCTGGGAATATCAAAATAAGACACATAGCAGAGCTGTGGTGATAATGGAGGTGGAAAAAAGCTATGGTATGACAAACCATGCAAGATTAAGGCAATGTAGTATGACACTTAACACCAGTCATACATCAGAAATTGTTCCTGGTAAAAATAAAATGAAATAAAATAATTTAAAAAAAGATATTTCAGTGGAGCAGCTGCGTAGTCCTGTAGATGATTTTACACAAATGAAACTGCTAGTGAAATGCTAACATGTGTTACTTGTTTTTTCAATTGATTTATATACAGTTGTTATACAGGCATCAAGGGGTTTATTTCATCCTTTTGACATAATTAATTTAAAAATAAATATCAATTTTCCCTACTGTACCAAGTGCCAGTTGCCATTGTTTGAGTCATTAGTAAGGATAATGCTTGCACTTGGATTTTAACTCTATGCAACCTTTGTTCAAATGTGAGCACTCTTATAAAAAGTAGTTGGCATCGTTTAGGCAGGAATGAAGACAGAGGAAAGCAGTGAGATAGAATTCTTTTAATTACAAACTAATAAGAGGCTTTTCTTTGCTTTTGGTCAGATTCAATCAAAAAGTACCTGTTTTTCAGTACTTGCGTGTTTTGGTACATGAATAGAAAACAATACATTTCTATATGAAACTGCAAAATGTGCTGAGATTCTTTGGGAGAAAACAACTTTTGAAATGAAAGAACTTATCACAGACATACTATGTTTTGAACCTCACAACCCATCGAGGTTAAATCAAGAAATGCAAGAATCTGATACATAAATGTTCTTAAAATACCAGACTGATAAACTTATTTAGATTTTAAAAACATCTTGAACAATCTAGGCAAAGTTTGAAATGGAAATTGTTCTTGAAACTCCATCACAAACAGACAATAGTCCATTTCAAGAACATTTGATAAAAGCTTCTTATTTTTCAAGTTTATAAGTTCTGAAAAACATGATCCCCACCTGCCCCATTCACAGACCTTTTTGAAGTCTACATTAGAAATAAATGCCAGCAAAACCACTTAGTTGAAACCTCCATGTTCATCATCTGCTCAAGCAGTGTACAAACTTCATGGTTTTGAGCTAAGAACCATAGGAGGAAAGCCAAACACACAGAGCAAACATTACCTGTTTTCTGATGCTGCAGCAACATTTTCCTTGTCTCTGTGAAAGGAGGGGATACAGTATGAATAAAATAAATGCAATTGCTAATGGTGGCAAAAAACCCCAAACGAACCAAAAACAGGGAGAAAGAAGAAAGAAGAGGGGTTGAGGAGAAATGTTTGGTTGCAAAAAGCATCCTAGAGTGGTTGCTCAGAAATATAGTTGTGAGAAACCTCTTCAGCTCTCTAAGTGAAGCCCACCAAATATGCAAGTTTACTGTATGCTTCTCAGTTGCAAACAATTTTGTTTCAATATTACAGTAAAATGAAGGAAAATTAACAGTTATAAATTAGACATCATATGTATGTATATAATTTCAGGCATAGTTCTTTACTTTAATAAGTTCCCTCTTAAAAGAAAATTTCAAGAATATTCCAATGGAACATAACTCTGATGCCAGCTCCAAGCGATAAAAATAATCAGACCTGGGGAGTCCTCAAGGATCCTATATTTTGAAGTGTTAAGCAGTTAAATAGTTAATAAAGACTCCTACGAGATGGATTATATATGTCTGGCATGACTTAAAAATTCTCTGTCCTACCCAAGTAAATACTAGTTTTCTCAATCTAAGTTGGATTAGAAACAAGTCAAATTCCTTCACTGAAGTAAAGGAGTAAGTCAGCCTGAATTTCAGTGATAGCGAATTTGGCTGCTATTCTGTAAATACATATACATGCTTAAAAAAACCCTGATCAGTTTAAGTGCAATCAATTGTGTATCTATGTAAGAAGTTAAGACATAGGTATTTTCATTAAAAATAGAATCCTTTACCCCTAGACTGCTAAGGTTGAAATCCAATTAAGTAATTGAGATAGTCTCAATATTTAGCAGTGTAGTGGGTAGTTGTGTCCTTTCCTACTTAAGGAATTGTGCTGGAATTTAAACATGTTTAAAGTTGAAATATGCCAAATGAGAACATTTTTCTTAAATGGGATCTCAGATTACAAAGCACAAAGCAAATGTCCTCATTTACTCAACTGAATCTTCTTTCTGAAAATTCCTTTGAAAAAAGGAATTTTTACATGTATTTATTTATGTGGATTTGTTGGGCTCCAATCATTCTCTTACATTATGTTTGGAAGGCTATTCTTAATATTTTCCACATTATTAGTAGTATTTCATATATTTGTCTCTGTGTTTATGTATGTACACATATATATGTACAGTCACATACTCTTTCTATACTTTAGCTCCAGTAAAGTTATAAAAACCAGTCCAGGTTACGTTAGAAACGTTTGGGCATAGGTGTTCTCCACCAATTTTTAAAACCTCTAACTAAAATGTAACCCATAAAATATATGGATCGAAGCCAGATTTTCAAACCCAGAAGTAGAAATGACCCTCAGATCTGGCTGTCTAAGAATGTTATTACGGTCAAAAAGGAAGAACCTGTCTTGAAAGAAAATACCCCAATAAGATCAATTGGTTCACCACTCTAAAGCAATGAGAAACCAAACACTATCTTTGTGGTAACCAAGCCGTGAGTTCACTGGAACATCAGGTATAAGAAAGCCAGGATGAAACAAGGTGGAGGAGGATGGATTAGAAACTGTACATGTGTTGGGGGAAGCGTTAGTATACCAAGAGCCATAATCATGCAAGAATGTTAAAAAATACAGTCACAGCCTGAAAAGAATAAAGCATTGTTTATTTCCAGTGTTACCAAATATTCTATAAGAAATTATAGTCAGACTAAAAGGCAGGCAGTTGGGGACAAGCAGCAGCAGCGTCAGGCCTCTGTTGTTATTATTAATCTGATCCAAACTTTTCTGCTCCACTAGTGCGACTATACTGAAGAATGCAGAAAGATGCCACTTGACTTTGAGGTCAGGATTTCATGAAAGCTTTTTCTGTGAGTGTACAAGTATAGGATAACATTGACGATGGCAGGGGAGTTGTGAAGGTTAAGAAGAGAGAGAAGTATAGTAAACATACTTCCACAAAATAAAGCGAAGGAAAAGGCAGAGAGGAAAAGGGACAGACGAGCTCAAAGGCACACAATATTTCTTCATGGTTTTGCTGCCAGGAATTCTTCCCAGTGAACAGGAGTAATTCCCATTTGGCTGACACTGAGAAAGGCTCAAGATCAGATGTGTCTCTTATTGGCAATACATGCATTTTGAGGAACAGACTATTGGATTTCTAGCCTTTACAATCAAATATTTTTTGCTAACTAAATGCAGAATTAATTTTACTCTTGAGTCAAATACATCCCTGGAGCAGGCTCAGTGAAGTCAATACCTTCACAACATGAAGGAATTTAGCTCAGAATATTATGAGCAGTTTGTATCTCCATGGCTACACAGGCTGCTCAAGTAACTGACACTAGTGGACAGTAGTTTTGAGTGATCTGGGAGAGATTTAATATTCATGGTTTTTTGTTTGCAGCCCTTTTAGTCCGCAGCTGAAACAGCTTTTGATAGAAGGGCCTTAGTCAATGACTGTTGTGAGAGAACAGTGCAACTCCCAGATTTTATTACATATTTGACATAAACAAGATTTTTTATGCAATATACTCTGACCAATTACACAGTACATTATACAATGAAAATTATGAAGTATTTTCTTTTTGTAAAAATATACTACATGATATGGTCATAAAGGCAGAGTGATAGAGTCTTTCCCTCTCACACACTAGCAAGAATTATAATAGTTTAAGTAACAAAATGTAAATTTCATTTGCAAGCTAAGCTTGTGCGTGCACTATTGGATCCTAAACAGAGCCTGAAGAAATTTCAGAGAGTTTCCAATAAATAAATCTGTTGAATCCCAACTGTATGTACTGGACATTGGAATAATTTCCCAGTCTATTTTATTTTTGGAAACCAAATATAAAAGATTCCCAAACAAACAAGTACAAGTAACAAGCGACCTGAGGTGTAGAGCCTGTGCACCTTCCATCTGCCTTCTCCTTAGGAGATAACAGATCTAGACTCTCTCTCGAATAGCTCCTTTCCGTTCCATTACAGTGTTGTAGAGACAGAATAATTTAATCTGTAATGAAGATCTCATGACATAAGGAACATGAAGCATCCCGAGAGACCATGTGGTCCTTCAACTCTTCTGTCTTTCAGTAGTCAAGAAATAAGTGAATACTATAATTATTTTCTCTGCATTCTCATGGAACAAGACTATTTTTCTCATTCTACAAATAAGAAACTTAATAGAATTTCTCATGGTCAAAAAGAA